CATTCCCTTTCAATACTAGGAGATGTTATCAATAACAAAGGGGACCTCTGTTGTTAAAATACATAATAAACAAACATGCAGCACTTAGATCAGATCAATGGGTTCTTTCCCCATCCACAGCGATTTAAGGTGATAGATTTTACATTTCACAGGTGAGGAAACTGAGACATTGAGCAGTGACTTGCCCAAGGTCAAACAGTGAGTCCAGAATAGAGATGTCCTAATTGCTCAATGCACTCTAGACCACCATGCGCATGAAGGGCTTTTAACCCAATATTGTCCCTTGAAGTCTAAGAAAGACACACAAATATTACTTTGCTGAGCTGGAAAAAGGGCGGGTCTGCCATGGTTGCTAAGTTACGATCAGACCCTCTCTCCCCCCATCATCTTGCAGCATGGTATGACTTGCACACTCCGCCTGCCAACAACCATACTAGCTCCCGTGGTGGTCCACCCACAGCATTGGAAGCTGTACCCGGTTGGGTTAGAGAAATCTCTCCTTGGGCCGAGCCTGGAGGAGCCATGCTAAGCTGTTCTCAGCAGGAAATCGCTCTGGCACACATCCCAAACCCCCCAGCTGCACGTCCTGGTGTAGTTCATATCAACCATGGGATAGTCTCTCCTTTTGTGCTAAACCACCTCTCCTGTATGAAGTTACTCACTCCGATAGCCACCACAGGACATGCCACTCGCTCCAGCCAGAACCTCGGGGACGGGAACAAACGTCTCTTTGTGTTTGATTCTCTGAACTCACTGCAAACCTGCAGCTTTGTCCACTTAATGCCCCAAATCCCAGCAGCAAGCGCACCCCAGCTGAGGCACTTTAAGAAGCTTATCGCCCATGATTAGTGATGCTGGCCTGTCATTGTGACTACAGATGTCCATGGAAAAGGAGCTTTGACCCATGTCTAATTAGAGCTACATCCTCAAGATGGCACAGATAAATTAGCTAACCAATTGGGGAGGGCTAATGAAAAGTGGTGGGCCCCACTTCCCGACACCCAGTTTGGTAGGTTACCTGGACAGAGTCCCCAGGTAACACAGTGATATGCACCCTAGAAACCCCGCAGCAGACAGAGCAGCATTGCTTACCTGATTTCAGATAGCTGCTCAGGAGAGGGGGGATGTTTTCTTTCTTCCGTCTGGAGCGCCTATTTGTGTTCTCCATGCTCTCTACACAGTTCGGGGGAAACCTTTGCAAACTGGCTTCACGGAAAGGCCTTTCTCACAGCAACGCAGGTTATACCCCACTGCAGGCCCACGATATGGGAAACCAAAACCACCACATCAGGTGGTTGTAATAACAGCCAGATGTTTTTCCAGAGCTACAGTCCCAGGTGTCCTCCCCACATCCCACACTGCTGGGAAGGCCTACGGGCCAGGGGAGCATCCAGATGTTCCCGGCTATCCCACTGAATCAGCCAGAATGAGGTTTACCCATTAACAGCACATCCCTGAAGTTATCCCTTGGCTTCCTATAGGGCAGGCCCCTCTGGGTGTGCGCCTCAACATACCCCTCTGCACTGCTGGAAAAGCAGCCTGCCTGGGCCTGTCTGTCTCCCTCCCTCCCTCCTGCCCTGGGTCTGTGCTGAACAGTCTGTCTGAGCCACCTCTGGTCTCCTGCTGTCTTTCTCACTCACTCTTTTAACACCCTTGGGTCTTCTTCTTTTCTATGTATTTCAGTGCATCTGTACTGGGGGGCAGAGGGCTACTACTCTCTTTCTGTCTGTCTGTGCTGGGGCCCAAGGGGGAGAGGGGCGAGCTGTCAGATGTCTGTCTGTGCTGGGGGGGGTGGCAGCTACGGGATGTCTGTCTGTGGAGGGGATACCACGGGGTGTCTGTCTGTCTGGGGTGGGGGGTCCTACCGGATGTCTGTGCTGGGGTGGGGGAAAGGTGTTGGGTGTCTGTGCTGGGGGAAGGGCTGCTGTTGGGTGTGTGTGTCTGTGCTGGGGCGGGGGAAAAGACTCCTACTGGGTGTCC